GGGTCAAGTTAAAATCCTGGAAAAGGCATGATCACTTAGCGTTTTCATCATGAACTCCTACGGAGCCAGCTTCTTTGGTCTGCTGGCTTGTGCGGTGGAAACTATCAATTGCCTATCATTAAGACTTTGACTGAACCCCAGAGTAAATGTAAGTAAATGTAAGCTGAATGAGATTATTATATTTATGGCTCTGTCTGTGCAAATCTTATTCTTCCCCCTGCTCCATGCTTCAGCTGAAGCAGGAGTGAAGAGCCAAATACATTTTTGCAGTTTGGTTACTTCTGTCCAGTGGTGAAACTTTATTGCTTGGCCTAAAAGGATCAGACCTGTTAACTTGAAAAAAAAAAAAAAAAACCACAAACCTGCAGTGGATTTTTCCATGGGCCAATATTTTAATGGGGATGAAGGTTATCACTAGCTCGGTGATACCCAGGGAATCACATCAAAAGCAACAGCGCGACAGGGTTGGATGCAAGCCCTAGGATTCCACACCTGGAGAAGGCTGTGTATGCTAAATCATGCAGAGCGCTGCTTCAAAGAAATGCATTATGCACTTGTAGCCCGTGGGATTTGTTCTATTTTTCTGAAAGTTACCACAAATCTCAAACTAAAACAGGAAAGAGAAACTTAGACCAAGTCTGAGTAGGGTGTGGATGTAGAGGCAACATCTGCCCCTGCTAGAGGATACTAGCAACCTCTGTGCAACAGAAATTGTCATAGTGTATCGCTCTTCCTTGAAAAGGTGAACTAAGTCACTTTCTGAATGCATGGTGGGATAACTGCAAATTGCTGTTCACCAGGCAGTGAAATGAGGCATAGATAATGCCTAGTGTTGATGACGTCGTATTGACGCCACTTGCTGTAATAAATAGGGCAGATGCCTGAACCACAGGCAGATGAAGCTTTGTTGAATGAAAAAAAGATGACAGATCAATAGGCAAATTTTTTTCTGATATCAAAATACACCAATATTCAGCAATGGAAAGCTTAAAAATATTAAGGACATAGCGGTAAGTTAAATTATTGAAGGAGGATAGCATACGGTAAGTGCTATTTATTGTTGGCGCTAAATCAAGCACTGGAAAGTTTGTGAGGGATCCTTGAAGTATTGACAATGTGTTTGACTTCCAGTTGAAATAAATCATTACGACTGGGGGTTTTTTTCAGTGTCTCTACCCCTTCAGAGTGGAAAATGTATAAAATGGATGGCCTAAGGAGGCTTCTGGTTTCAGTGCTCATGACTTTCAGGAAACAGATTTGGATTTGTTTCTTTTTACAAGCACAACTTAATGACATATAGAAAGGATGTCAGATTTCCTCTGTAAGTTTGTCACGGCAGAGATGGATGTTACTATCTTGCTTACTCTATAGCTAGGGATCTTTATGAATCTTTTATTAATAATAATGCTTTTTCCATAGTCCAGCAAAATAATCTCCACATACGATATGAGGTGCAGATTTTATGTCCCACAGCTGTTGTAAAGGTGATCTTCAGGGGGAAAAAAAAACCCAACAGCCTTTTGCATTTGCTGTCTGCTTTCTGCTATATAGGTCTGAAAGTGAACTCAGATATCACAATTTAAAAAAACCCAAGGCTTTCCTTCTGTGCCTCCAGAAGTCAACGGAAAGTAGTCTTTCATTGTTTTTAATGCTGGGCACGTGATCAGTCAGCAGTCCTTGGGCAGTTTTTCCTTCATAGCCTCATTTGGCCGTGTCTCTCCGACCTTGGTTTTCGCAAAATCTGACTTCATTTGACAATCTCTGACAACACAGGCTGATTGTTAAATAATCAGCTGTCAGTGACAGGAAGTGATTCACTCGAGGTGGCTGTAATAAACCCAAGGAACCTGCTCCACCTGCCCGCAAGAGCTCTGATTCACCATTGTTGGGGCTTCGCGAGGAAGCGCTGGAGAGGATGCTGCTGCCGCTGTTGGCTCTGCCTCGGCATCAGGATCTTCTGTCCCTGTGGCAGAAAGGTAAAGGCACAGAGGCATGACCGCTCTCCAGCTGTCACAGCGTGTAGCTCAGTGAATCAAGTTGAGGTGCTGTGGATTTCATAAGCTGGGTGGCAAGATGCGGCGGCTGGGGAGTGAGCGCACAGTGCATTTGACTTCAATTTTTGGGAGAGGGCAGGGCTGACCTCTGGAGATGGGGCAGGGCAGGCAGCCCTGGACCATAGCTCCTTCAGTTGCCACCCTGTGACTCACCAGAGTTTGCCTGAAGCTGCCCCAGCAGCACCATTAAACTGGCAGCGGGCAGTATGGAATAACGTAGGCTCCAGTGGTGACAACATGAAAAGTGGTTCTTAATGAGATGTGAAGGCACTAAAGAAAATTCAGATCCAAAGGGTAGCCAGGAGAGAAGGAGAACTCAGTAAGTTATACCCACCCCGAAATGAGCTGCTAATCACTGGCGCTATTGTGAGGACTACAATAAATCAGTGTCTGCCCTGGCCGCCTGCATCTCATTATGCACAAACATGCGGATAGAGAATGTCAGCCTCAATAGTGATCTGTCATGTGAATGCTGCTGTGTCCGAGTGGGCTGGCACTTGCATGGTTAGCCGGCTTTGTATTTTCTTTTTTTTTTTCTTTTTTTTCGGTGGGCGATATCTATTTTCTTTTGGAAATGTTGATTTGCTCTGTACTGTGGGTAGTAAATTTGCCCTTTTCTTCAGTGATTTGTGAATTCTGTGATTATAACATTGTATTTAAGATGTGGGGGTAAAATATCCTTCATATATGTCATATTTAGTGGTTGGGGTTTGCTTGGGGTTTTTTGTTGTTAGGGTGGTTTATTTTTTTTCTCAAGTCCTCTGTGTATGGTGTCATGCATATTACTGAAGCTAGGGCAACACCTACATGTATTTATGCAGCTGATCTGTAGTGCCGATTACTCAAGCATCACAGACTGCCTCGGAAAGGCTAATTAATTTAAGCCCTGTAGCACCCCTTTGAGGCAACTTTTGTTAGTCCTGATAGATGCACACATTGTAGCTGCTCTTTGTTATTTATTTTTAATATGATTTTTATCCCAGAGAGGGAGAAAAATGAATAGTTCTTACTTTGTTAGGTAGTTGACAAAATGTTAGGCTTTTGATATCAGTGATATCAAGTATGTAGCAAAATTTGGATTTTATTGCAAGTCATGCCTCAGTTTCTTATTTACTTTCAAAGCCTCAGCTCCTGGAGCCAGGTGAACTTACAGATGTCCTTTTGTTTTTAAACGTCTGTGTCTAGCTCATGTAGTTGCACAATAAATTTTAATGTATTGTCTCCGCCTAATCTAAAATCTCGGATGCACAGAGGCAGGGAAATAACTTGACTAACGTTGTGAGTTTGTTTCTTGTTAGTCTTAAAATTTTTGCATGATTAGGACTGGGAATACCAATAACAGAGCGTGCGTGCAGCTCAAAAGAGAGTCCCATGGATTGCTAGTTGGTTTCGTGTTCATGTTTTAATTTCAGAGGTCCTCAGTCCCATACCGCATTAACTAGGTAAAACAGGGGCAACCATCTCCTCCCTCCCCCTTCATGTGCAAACCAAAGATGTTTTTGCACATTTACTCACACTTTTTTTTTGTCTGTGCTCGGTCTTAAACCTATTAAAGAAGGATTCAGCATGTCTTCTCCAAATGCTTTATCCTCCTTTGTCTTTTCTCTCCTTTCTGAGCTCAGCCATTTCTCCACTTCCTTTGTCAATACTAAACTCATTTCCGCTATCATTCTTTCTTACCACATCCACTTTCAGTGCTAGATCTCTAGCTACCTCACACCTTAAGGAGTGATGAGGACTACCAAAGTGGCTGCCTCAAGCTAGAGTCAAACCATGGGCAACCCAGTCCTGATGTCTCACTACCTCCTACAGGAATCTTAATTCCTTAATATTTGGGGAGCAGGTGTCCCCTACTGCCTAGGGCATAATTTCACAATCATTTTAGGCCAATCAGAGACCACACTGTCACCAAAAGAGGCAATCACCCTTCTTTAGTATCTGCTCTACCATCTCTTTTCAAGTAGCTGTCTGATGTGGCAGATGGCTAATTTTTTATTTTTTATTTTGTAACTGCAAGTGGGGAACCTGATATGATTTGCGGCACAGCCCCATGGGTGCTAGTGCTTATGCCAAGAAGCCATGGGAACCATCCAGCCAAGAGCAGGGAAAAAGTGTGACCACTGCTTTTGGTAGTAGTACTGTCTCTGACTGACTTAAATTATCATTTAATGACACCTGTAGTTTCAAGGTCTTGCTGAAAGAGGTGATCCTGTATCCGGCTGCTTGTGCCTGTGCTGTTACCTCCTGATTCGTGCTAGCACGAGCCATCGTGCAGCTGTGGTGAGCAACCAACCTGCTCACCGGAGCCAAATGGGGGAAAGGAGGCGTCTCGTTTTGTCCGTGTGGTTTCGTTGGGCAATTTTTGGCCTAAATCGTCCTCCCAGTTAACCAAACAAGTGGTCCACTATTAGGCCACCTTTCAGTCCACGCTTTTCACAGTGTTTATAAATCTGCCATCCTCCTATTTAAAGGTGGTGAAAGCTGTGGTAGGTTGCTGCTGCTCAGGACGAACTGGGCAATGTTCCTGTGCTCTCCAAGCCACGAGGCAGCTTCGTGCTTCTGCTTATTTCTGCTCAGACTTGTGCTCAGCCCCTACCTAGAAACCTCATAAGCTCTAAGGCAAACAGTGCTTTAAACAGTATACAATTCAGCCTCTGTCCTGGACGAGCCAGATTGCTGAGACACATGGGTTGGGCCAAAAAGAAATTTCAGATGGTTGTGAATTCATCTGCTGTGCGAATACGGGCTTGGCGGGTTTTCCCTCTTCCAGGAACATGACTATTTTAAAGGACTTCAGCATGATCAGCTGTTTTGAAGGGGCTACAGCAGTATATCTTTCCCAAAAGTGACGCTTTGTGGTTTTTTTTCAGGGCAACTTTCATCATCATTTTAAAACTGGAAGTAGTTTAGACAAAAACTTTAATGATTTTTTGTTTGTTTGTTTAGTTGGATATGAAAACCACCTCTCCTTTCTTCTGTTTCGGCAGTTAAATATTCTGGTTGACACTGGGAGCAGTAATTTTGCTGTAGCAGGTGTGCCTGATCCTGATGTCACCTCCTACTTCAATACCAAGCTGTAAGTACCTGTTCTGCACGCCGTGATGGGTTAGGATGTCTTTTAGATTCTGACTCCTCCATGCGAAAGAGAATGATCAGGCAGTTTGTGGGGCTCCTGTGACATCCCATGAGAGTGGGGTGTTTGTTGCCTGAATGGGGAGATTGGCCTTGCGTGATGCAAAGTCCTGCCCGACACCATGAACGGTCCCACTGATGGCAGCGCAACTGAGCTCTGAGCGCAGCGCTGATTAGAGCTGGAGAAAAGGGAAGAAGATTACAGCATAAAAATCGTTTGCAAAATCACACCAATTGCAGCCAATTTTTTATCTGACTAGTCTTGGAAGGAATTAAAAGTTTAAATAATACTTTCCCTTTGTTTAAAAACAAAAATTAAAATCCAGTACTTGTATCTGTTACTTGACATTTCATCCAAAACCAAAATTAGTTAGTCAAAAGCTGATTCGTTGTTTAGTTTGGCCAAGGACCTCGATCAGTTAGTGATCTGGACAGACCCTGCTGAATATGGTTGTTTATAAGATATGACTTGGTAGTTTTGGTGCTTGTTATGCACTAACTTTGCTGTATTTAGTATGAGCTGACAATAGTCACAGCCAAGAACAGCTCTGTCTGTCTAAATCACTCTCGCTCCTTCCTTTCTGCCCTTCTCTAGTTTCAATTATTTCAGGTAAACTTCTCCAAAACACAAGTGTCTATCATTAGCTGAAGCATATGGATAAAAATACTTAGGGAACTGGGAGGCTGGAGAATATCAGCATTCTTATTACCTCTTTATGTAATTTATGTATTTTAACATGGAGTTTTGCACTTTTTTTTTTTCCAATAAGATGCATGGGAAATGGAGGGAAAGCTGGTATTTCCATGCTGCTTACTAGAATAGCCTTACCTCCTGTCACATATTCAGGTGTTAATGGAGATATTTCACATCTCACTCTGATAGGACACAGGTCTGGAAAGTCCAGAATTTGCACTTGAAAGCCATTTCTGCACTACTGGAGAGTTTTATATGCCAGCTATACCCTTCCGTAGATAGTGGCTAGAGGAAACTTAATTGCAAGGAATTAAAAGCACAAACATTCCTTCTCACTTTTCTCTTAAGTGATTTTATTTTGTCTGGAAAGGCAAGGCCTCTCTCATAAGAACCATAAACCATTAGAAACAGCAACAAGAGCAGAGGTTGTGTGTTGAGAGAGGCTGTGAAATCACTTGAAGGTTACAGTCTCTTATCAGTGTTCTCAGTGTACACTGTGTTTTGAGAACTTTGATATAAAGTTAATAATGAAACCTTGAAATTTAGGCCCGGAAGAGTCAAGGGTGCTTTGTAAAATGATTCAAACTCAAGTCGTTACAGTCCAGAGCAATTGCAGTAGCAATTTCTGGTTTGCGTTGGATTGATGGAGTACTACAATATGCTCAGAATAAAGTACAACCATTAGCATGCTTGAACCTGGCTACACAATGCTTCTTTCATTTAAAATACTTTGAACACAATAAATGTCATCTGGGAGGGATCCTGGCCCCACTGAAATCAGTTAGATGTTTCAAAAATGTTGTTTGCAAGAAACCTCTGTAACCCACTTAGCCATGCTTCATTTAGGATATGTACTGTCACCAGATCAGGTCAGCCATGGCTGAGTCCAGCCAAGTCCTGTAAACCTCTGAGGATGGAGAATCCATGCTCTCTCTGAGCAGAGTGTTTCAGTGCTGCGCCACACTCTCCTGTGGAGGAAATACTTCCTAATGTCCAACCTGGACCTCGCAGAGTGTTGCCCCTAGTGTTATTGTCTGGCACTGCAGAGAAAGGTTTGGCTGTGTCATCTTTGTAACTGTCTGTCAAGTTGTTGTAAGCTGCTGTGAGATCTCTTGAAAAACTGAAGCCTAGCTCCTCTCAGCTTCTCATCGCAGGTCCTGTGTTTGTGGACCCTGACCTATCTGGTAGCCCTCTGCCAGTCCCTCTCTCTTTCTCCAGATCCCTGTTGAGCTGGATTCCCACAGCTGGCCACAGTCTATTCCAGGTGTGGTCTCACCAGTGCTGACCAGATGGTGAGAATGTCTTCTTTGGTGGCCCTCCAAATGTGGCCTGGTGTGGAATTTGCTGCATGCACAGGGCAAGTACGCTGTTGGCTCTCACTCAGTCTAGCGTCCACCGTCACCCCAAATCCTTTTCAGTTGCTTCCCAGTCTGTCCTGATGCATGGAGCTGTCTCCTCTCAGCTACAAAACTTTGTGCTTCTCCTTATTGAATGCCATGAAGTTTCTGTTGGCTCAATCTTCCTGTTTTCCAAGGTTCCTTTGGATTAAAGCTCTGTCATTCAGCATATCAGCAACTCCCCTTAATGTCGTGTCCTGTGCAAATCTGCTGAGGGTACAGTCTGTCCATCGTGCAGGTTCTTGATGAAGATGTTGAACAGTTTTTCCTCTGCTCACAACCCCTGGGGCACTATGCTTCTCACGAGCCTGACGTCAAGCCAATGGTCGCTGCCGTTTGGGCCCAGCAGCCTAGCGCATCTTCAGTCCACATAGTGGTCTGTTCAGCCCCATATCCTCAGCTTCCAAATGGGAATGCCATGAGAGATGGCGTCAAAAGCCCGACTGAAGTCAAGATGTGCTGCAGCCACTGTGCTCTCCTCATCTGCGTGGCCAATCATCTTCTTGTAGAAGGCAATGAGGTTGGTCAGGTATGATAAGCCTGTGAAATTCCTCGGTGAGTGTCCATGATTACCTTCTTGTCCTTCATGTGCTTGGGAACAGATTCCAGGAGGTTGTTCTCGGAGACTTTTCCTGACTTGAGGTGAAGCCCAGTGGCCTATAGTTCCTTGGGCCTTGCTGTTTGTCTCTTTTCGAGACTTGCCTTATGATAGCCTTTTCCCAGTGGGCGGGTTATCTTCCTTGGTTGCCATGATTTTGCATACATGGTACGCAGGAGCCTTGATATCACATCTGCTGGATCTGTACAATTACCTGAGAGTGACCTTTATCCATGTGTAAAGGAGACAAATGACCTATGGGCACTTTTCTTCCACGCTATGTGGAACACTTCAAAATTAGATAAAGATGTTTTCTCTCATCTGGTAATCATTCCTGCAGTTTTTCCCTATATTGTCATGAAGTGCCTCCATATCAAAGTCATAAACTGCAAATTGAAGACGAGGAGAAAGAAGGATCAGTAATTTGTTAAGTTAATGGGACCGAGTTATAGATGTGTGCTTATTAGAATATTAATATTGTGTTGGAGAAAGAGAGTGATGGGTCTGAATTTCCCGATTGTCACACTCTTAGTTTAATTTTATTCAAATGATCAAAATCTGAAATTAAATGCATGATTGTTTTTTAACTAAAATTGAGAAGGGTGCATAGGAAAGGCATTATCCTTGTTTCAAAGGACTCAGAGGGCATGTTGTTCAGGAAGAGCCCTTCTTGAGCAATTTTAGAACTAGCTTGTTAAATGTTGTTGTGTGTCATACAATCCGTGTCGTCTAATTCTACTGTTTAATTATCTGGTTCTTTCTGTACAAAACGAATAGAACTGTTATTATGCACTCTTTCATGACTTGGGCTTTTGAGTGGCTCTGACAAAACTTTGCTGTGAAAAGTTCTGAGTCTGCTGTGGTGATCATGCTGTATAAGTTACCATTATGTATAAGATTTTGGGAAATGGCCTAATGTGTCCAGAACAGAAAAGAAATCACAGTGTTTTTCTCATGCTGTTCAAAATAATAAGTAGTTTTTGTTGAGTATGCTACTTGTGATAAAAGAACTACTTAAACAGGTGTATAAAGGGATTTTTATACTTGAAACTAAATTATCAGTGATGGCTCTGTAGTGATATGTGAGAGACAGACATATTCAGGGCTGTCAGTATTCAGTTTTATTTCAGTGTGAGTACTGCTGCCTCACCATCTGAGTTTCAAGAGTTGATCATTTCAAGAGATAGGGAGGTAAGAAAATTATGGGCAATAAATTGAGGTAATACAATAAGTTATATACCAGCAAGCAAAAGTAAGCTAGTGCTTTGCAGTATGATCCTGCAAGTTTGGTTGCGTGCGCTGTACAGTTTATGGTTTGAGGGAAATTCTAAACTTGTTCCATAACCCCTGCAAATTAGATTGGACTTCTTAGTTAAAAATCAATAATTTATGTTGTGGAATAGTCTTTAGACAACTAGGTTGGTTGTTGGGTTTTCATGTTTGCTTTATCTTAAAGTCATTGGCCCTGAATCACTTAACCTTGTGCTATCCATCTTCACTGGAGAAGGGATCAAAACTTCTGCTTAGATTTTTTTTGGTCTGTTGCTGTTTTCTGTCCCTTCTTTGCCATTGCTGTTCATGAAGACATTGATTTGGTGCTTAGGAAAAAGTGAATGGGTAAGTAGGAAAATCTGAAGTCCTGATTTGTTGCAGAGTGGCAAGTGAGCTGGGAGACCATAGGATTAAGAAGGAATTGCATGTGTTTGGTGAGGTTGGTGTTAATTAAGCAGGGATTCTGTGCAGTGGATTTGCTGTTACCGTGTTGAGCATAATATTTTGTCAATGCTTTGTTCAGTGCTGTAGGCTGGTAATGTGGAGTAACTCTGCGTGAGAAAATGAACCCATTGCTAGTTTTCTAAGCTGAGGTTTGAGGACCGCGTTTCTGTTGGCTGCTTTAGAGAGAAGACTAACCAGAAAGGAGAGGGAGAAGGGAGTAGTGACACTATAACATTATAATCTAGGAGGCCTTTTTCCTTACCTCTAGCAAAGATACACTCTGTCCTGGCAGAAAAGTTGAATTTCTTATTTTTCTCATCATAGCCACAAAAGCTTGTTTGGAATTTTTTTTGCTGTGTGTTTGTTTAAAACACTCAGCCCATGAATTAGAATAAGTCTCTAGTTTTCACCTTTAAAGAAGTTTTCTTCCTTTGGATCAGTGACGTAGAAAAACACAGGCTGATTACATTCATGAAGATGGAGCAGGAAGTAGTTTTGCAGAACAGAATATAATTTACTGCCACAAGGATCACGTGAGATCCCTTCCCACACTGGGTATTTTGCTCCTTGAAGGAAATAAGGCCTTTTCTTCAATACAACAATTTTGCGCTTTACAAATGAGATGAGTATCCTCACACCCATTTCTACAGGTGGGGTAGCTGAGGCACAGAGGGTGAGGAAGTGACTTGACGTGCCTTTCCACAGGAAAGTTCACCAGCAGTGCAGGGAAATGAATGCAGTCTTTCTGTGTCCTGGTCCGCAGCTCAATCCATCATGCTGCTGCTGCTTATGGAGGAAGAGCTATGTGCTGCTGCCATTGCTAGTCATGCAGAGTCTGTATTTGCAGATTCGCTTCGCTTTATTCTCCCAGCACTCACTTTTCTCTCTGATTTCAGATGTTTCCTCTTCTGTTGCACAGCCAGACACTTTCCTACATGAAGAGCCCTGTATTTTCCCTTCCTTTTCCTGCCTCCCCCAGCTTCTCTTATGTGGCTAATTATTCAGACTTTGTTTTGATTTATAAAATGTACTGCCAGTATCACAGTGGTGCTCTGAAGACCCTGCCGGAGCAGAGGTATCCCTTTGTCTAAGTGTCATACAAATGCAGAATTACGTGGAAAGGTAAAACGGCAGTAGCAGTAACCAGATACAGGTAGTAACGGTATCTCTGGAATTCATGATTTTGAAATAGAATCTGTGGGGTCTGTTACCTCATTTATTTCTGCTCTCTTGGATGTTACAAGCTACTGGGCTGTGAAGGTTAGGTGTTGGGAGTATCAGGAGCTGCTTAGGGTTACAGCCTGGCCTCTTATTGCTCCCCACCCTCCCTTAGCTAGGAATGGGATCGGTTGTATGGTCCATATGGCCAAATTGTCCCTCAAGATAGAGTTTTGTACCTCTTCGGTGCTGATGAAGTTGGATGATGATTACTATGTTTATACTATGGGATTTTAAAATGAAAAGAAATCTATTGATGTTTTTTCTCATGTTTTTGTTAAGCCTTCTAAACAAGATTCTTTTCCTTTCTTTGCTTGCTGTACTTAACTGCTCCTTTGCCTTTGCTGCCTTGGTCTAGAAGGAACTCCTTCCTTTCCTCCTCCAAGTCAGTGAATCATTTGTTAATAATATCCAAATCTACTTACTTCCTGATAGATGGACCAAACTGCAGATTTAGAAAACCTGTGTCTTATTGCTGATACTCACAATAATATTCCAATTTCCCAAAAATGGATTTTTAATTTTTTAATAATATTGATGAGGCATTAGTCTACAGCTATTTGGTTAGCCTGGCATTTCAATTTTAGATTTGAATTCTGAAGCTTTTCATTTCCTAGCACCACTTAATACATTCCGTCTGCAGCTAAAGAGTATTGCTCCTGTTGTGATAGACCAGTCTGAGTCAGGAACATACTGCACTAGATAGCATAATACCTTAAATTTAAAAAAAAAAACAAAAACCCACAACATATTGTGAAGATGTGAGTGTCTGATGGCTTCAGGATGAAAACAGAGCCCCAACACTTTTTTAACTTTTTTTTTTCCACTACTTTTATAGTCCATCCCCCTTCTTCTGTGAGTATATGTGATTGACTTTGCAGACTTCATTTTTGTTTCCTCTCTGGGAAAAATTAAGATTGAATATATTGTGTTGTCTTGCATTGTAAATGAACAGGTCATGCATAAGTGTATCTTTTTCCTTTTAAAGGTCAAGTACATACAAATCTCAAGGGATTGATGTCACAGTTAAATACAGTCAAGGAAGCTGGACTGGAGTGCTGGGTACAGATGTCATTACTATCCCAAAAGGAATCTATGGCAGCTACATCATCAACATTGCTACCATTCTTGAATCAGAGAATTTCTTCTTACCAGGAGTTAAATGGCATGGGATTCTTGGTCTTGCCTACGATGCCTTAGCCAAGGTAAGTCACCCTTTCACCAGCTATTAAAATAAAGAGGGCAGATGATCTGTCAGCATTAGGCTCCACCCTTCCACCCACTCTAAAGGATCCTATGGATCCTTTGTGTTTGTTACATTCCAGAAAGAATAAACTGGGTCATGATGGTACCACAGTCCAATAAGATCATTTAGGCTTTTCTAGTGATGAAGACTCTGATTTTAGCTCCTCTGGAACAAATAAGCTTTAACAGAGTTTGTAGTACTAGAGAATGGGAGTAAAGGCTTCTGGCATGTTTGTGGAGGGCATTTATGAAGGTTGTGATGATCTCCCTCAAGACTTGTCAATGGACTGATGGACTCACTTGGCAAAGCCCTTGGCAGTTCATTTTAAGACATTCTCCATTCATACAGTAAAATTTGAGATGGAGGGCATATATGGATAATTTCAGAACAAATATTAGCTACGGCATTTTCAGGAACATATAGCCAAGCACATCCTGTTCTTATGGAGGTAGGAAATTCAAGTAGAAGTTTAAATTAAAACCTAAAAAGTATAGTCTAAAATTTGTAACCTTATAATCTAAAACTGAAAACATGATTGGAATAGTATATAGTCATAGTTTTCAACCTACACGTAACTGTCTGAGAAATTCACAAACAGATATATCCCGTTAGAACAAATGATTCAATACTGCCTGCTGACTCTGGAATTAAAATGCTTTATTCAAGAGTTGTATGATCATTGTATTGACTCCTGCTGTACTTGCTGTCATATACTGTCAACAGACAGACAGAGAAGAGCTGCTTCTCAAACTCTGGTTTGGGCGAATAGTGTATTCAGGGCATTTATTTTTCCCTTCTTCCAAAGGCCTAAGTGTCGTTGGCTTCTGAGACTGCTGTGTGCTTTGTGTAGTAAGGGCACTTTGCACCTCGCTAGCTAGCCAGGGTCCCTGCCTGTCATGAGATGTACCGGCACGGAAATCTGAATTACAATGAAATTGCAGTGCTCTAATAATGGCAAAGACAAGCATGATATGCAGTGTAGAAAAGAACCTGTTGGCCAGTAATCAGTTGAAGTGAGCGTGCTTGGATATGAAGTTCTTTAAAAGAAAGAAAAGGAAATAAGGGCCACTGAATTCAAAGTTCATTAGAATTAAACTACATTTAAAACCTGAAAATCCTCCCTTTAAAATTGTGCCTTTTAACTGTGGAAAGGTGGGAAGGGCAAGTTACATTTGACTATTCTAATAACCCAAAGCCTTTTCCAAACAGAAAGCATCGGTGAGAGTTTCTGCCTGAAACTGAAACTAGTATTTGAGTTTGAAAACTGCAATTGAAAAATACTCTCGTGCTTTAGGGATTTCTGTGACAGTGGTCAAGAGTAAAAATGTCTTTAAAAACAACAGAAACAGAAAAATGACAGTTGTTGGGTTTTTAATGACTTATTATATCTAGAATTTTCATCACCTCGTTGTCAGAAATTCAATTTACTTGTGAAAAGTAGCCTTGTTTGAATGATTGGCTCATTTCTGCAAAGAAACTTTTTAATTAATACTTCTGTAATTCTTTTGTTTTTTGTTTTATTTTTCAACACCTTCAAGCCTTCCAGTTCTGTGGAGACGTTCTTTGACTCTCTTGTGAGGCAGGCAAAGATCCCCAACATTTTCTCCTTGCAGATGTGCGGTGCTGGACTGCCTGTTTCTGGAAGTGGTACCAACGGAGGTAGTCTTGTGGGTATCTGTCAATCTAAGAGGGAAGATGTATCTTTGTTAATCTCTCTCCCTCTTTTCTACGACTATCCTACTTCTTCCAAATTTAGTGTTTAAATATATGAAATGTTTTATATTTTTTTTAAGGAAAAGTTAAGGACTTAGGCAAAACTTAAGTGTCTATTTATTTTCATTCTCCATTCTTTTTTTTTTCTCTCTCAAGTTTGAGTAAACTTCTGCATTTCAAGTTTAATTTTAATAAAGAAAAACATAAATGTTGTGTGTTTCCTCAGGGCAGATTCCGCTACCTTTCCTAAACTGAGTAGTCCCTCACTCAGCTGCTAAGCTTGTTCAATCTCATCAAAATGCTACAGTATTTTTTTTAATATGATGTGAAAAGGGGGAGAGGAATCAAGGCTCTTATCTTTTTTTGTAGCAACATATTAAAGAAAAAAAATCTGAAGACCAGATCTTCTGTTCGTTGTTACTCTGGAAAGTCTTTCCATCAGTTTTAGTGGGACCAAGAACTGGCCATAATTTATCTGGAATCAGGAGTTGGAATGACTGTTCCCAAATTATGCTGAAATAAGCATACATACCACCACAGGGGTTGATCACAAATAGTTATTTTGCTGTGAGTTCACATACTGTAAATGTTAACGCACTTGAGATAGATGACACCCAAGAGAGAACTTGCTGTGTTAGTTCAGTTCAAAGTCTAATGGTCTAGTATGCTCCCAGTCAGCTTCAACGTAAGTTTTGATGGAAACTAATAGTGATAGCAATGATAGGATGGTCATATTCCATTTTGAATGTGTGTAAGAAAAATGAAGTGGTCTTGAACAGTTAAGGCTTTTCTGATCTGATAAAGTGAATTTGTGATGTGCAAGTTTAATATTCTGTCCCATTTTTATACATTGCCTAGAATAAAGCACTCAGAATGCTGGTTTGATTTTAAACAGTGGAGCTTTCATAAGAGAATCAGTGTGAGCTTGTAGATGAAGATGCTGGTAATTTGGCCCAATATGGGAATTCTTGTTGACTGAAGCACGATCTGCTTAATGTCTAGATGTTTCATATGGCTTTACAATTGACAGAGATCTTGTCAATAAAATCTTTACAAATGGTCCTAAATTAAAATTTTGTTGCTCTGTGTATCACAATTAAATATTCCCCTTTTTTCCTGTACTTGCCCCCAAACTGAACATCCGTGATTTTAAAGTATGTGAATTCCTTTCGCTTTTCCCTCAGGTTCTGGGTGGAATTGAACCAAGTCTGTACAAGGGTGATATTTGGTACACACCTATCAAAGAGGAGTGGTATTACCAGGTCGAAATTCTCAAACTGGAGGTTGGAGGACAGAACCTCGAATTGGACTGCAGAGAGGTATTTGCGATAATGTGTTTCTGTCTATATAAAATGCAAGTTTGGTTAAGGAAAGCACTTAATTGATCAGTTTTGTCTATACCAGCAGATCTGTATTGCAGTTTCCTCTGAGAATTAAGGCTGCATGGTAACTTTGAAAAAAGATGAACAAGCCATGTGAAATGTGGTGTGTTATACAGTAAAATCAAAATAAAGGGGTTTAAGACAAATCTGGTCAAAAAAAAGAAAAGGGAATATTTTGGATTGACCCCTGCGGAGATGTCTAAGCATGTAATTCATGATGGCAGTGGGTAGGTGTCATCCTGGGAAGCTTCCCAATGTATCTCATCCTATGCCTCCTATTATATGATATCCTATTATTCCTGATGCATATGTTTTCTGTTTTTATTAGGAATAATGCTCCACTATCTCTGGATCAGTGTAATGAGACTGTGTTGTTGCCATTTTTATTTCAAAGCTGTTTCTTTTTTTTTTTCTGGAGGATATGTATGTATGTGCGTGCTTCATTTGTTTCTTACTGTAGCTTGTTGCTGTTCATGTTTTCATTTTAGTTTTATAATTTTCATGTCCTGTTTTCACTAGACATCTTAATTTTATCTTATGTTTGTTCTCTTAGTTGGAAATCATTGGGACATACATGATAAATCTAAAGTTTTTATCGTTCATACAAATTAAGTTAAATTTATGTTAAAATTCTTACATGTGCACAAATACTATATTTCTGTACAAAATATGGAAATCATATTGCCATATAAAATATTTAAAATTAGTTATATCATCTTTCAGCTCAATAAGCAACAGAAGATCTATTTTAAATGTCTGTCTCTGTTACATTGTTAGGAAGGCAAAACTGCTGCTCCTCTAACATAAGTGTTTGTGTTGCTTTTTTTCTCCTTGCCTTAAAAAACGATCAACATGTTTTTGAAGAGGAGCCCTTGCACTAATGGTTTAATACGTGCTGTTTCCAGAAAACAGCTCACTTAAAAACCTAGCAGTGTTACAGAAGTTTCCTGTTATTGCTGCTCTTTTCTGAGCCAGGACTTGCTTTTACGTTATATGTACTAGCACAGGAGGCTGGTCACCAGGACAGAAGGCATCATGCCTTTCTTGATCAAAGGAGATCTTCCCGCAAAAATTAGGGCTAGTATGATTAAAGTTTGGCTAGTTAGGGGCTTGCAGAGGATGCATAATTCACCACATAGTACAATGAACTATGTGCCCTCTCTCCTCCTAGTTATTTTCTAGGAAATGGAACATTTTTTGTAACTGTCACCAGAGACTTGCAAGGGAAAAGCAGTCCCCCGGTGCAGTGCCGGGAATCTGTCCGGCGTGACGCTGCAGCTGTGGCCTTGAGCCTGGCAGAGCAGGGCTGAGCGAAGTACCGAGCTGCTGGCAGCGCACGGGCTGCGCTGTTAAAGATCAGCCAGGAGGACTAAGAAAGCAAGAAGTTACTGTGCACTGAAAGTACACTGTACACAGCAAGAACACCCAGGTGCTTGGTCCCTGGCGAGCGATCCTGCTGCTCCAGGCATTTTGCATGGGTTTATGTTAGTGGTTGACCCTTTCGGCTGCGCCTCCTACCTACTTTTTTTCCAAGGGTTGCTCTCCAGGATGCTGGCAGTTGCGTATTTGTGGTACAAATCTGTTAAAATGGACTCCACGGTGCCTTGATAGTTCTCTCCACTCTTTAGAAGTATTTCTGAGTGTATAATAGTTTCCTGTTTGCTTTTCTTTCAGCTCTGTTTGGCAGCCTATAGCAGCTCTCCTTTCAAAAAGAAAATAACTGAGAGTTACTTTTTTTACTTTTTGGTGGGTTTTATTATTCCATGTGACTTGATAACATCTAAGCCACTGAATCTTAAATTCACTTGCTGTTTGATCTCTACCTAAAAAGCTTATGCTGTATGTTTCCTCATGTCTTATGATTATGTCATAAACATATCACTGTTCAGTTATATTGATCCTGCTGCCTAAGCTGGTAACAAAAGTAGTTAATGCGAACAGCTGCCACTGCTACTTGCCTTTTTTTTTTTTTTTTACAAGTAATCATAGTTTTTAGGGAGTTCATGAAAAAATATGTACCTTTTAAAACATTTATTCTTTGCTTACTGTGTCTGAAGTTTAATGAAATTCCTTAATCTGAGGGTTGAAGTTTTAATAACAAAGAGAAATGTTTGCTTAGGTTTTTTTAGTGCAGATTTTGAGGCAGCAAGATTGAAATTTCAAGTTTCTTTGTACTTGTTTTTGTCTGTGTTTTAGTGGGTTTCAGCAGTTGAGAGAAAGGTGTGGCATTTGGCACTTGTACTCTTGAGCTGGTACCGAACATGACATGTCATGAGGCCTAACGTTCCCTGACTATTCTCAAGTTAGATACTCTAGCTGTTGAAAGTAGGCTGCTGTATTGTGTTTAAACTAGAGCGAGTTGTTTCCATGATAGCAGAGACCTTGATTTAGGGCTTGGCCATGAGGTGTAAGCTACATCAGCATGCTTAGTGTCCGTCTGTACTGACCATGAGAGTGCTTTTGCCCAAGGCACGTGGGAGATAAAATGGATTAGCTCACACCTCTGAGAGGGGCCGGGCTTTACTTCTCCTTACTGCATGTCACCACAGCTGGCCAAACCACTGTAATTTCTTGAGTGGCGCAGGTAAATGCATTCCTGTGTCTAGGCTGACCGTATCTTGCTTTTGCTCTCAGACTTCATTTGAATTCAAGCTATCAACTAGAGAGAGCTGCTGACAGGTATGACATGCAGGTTTGGGAAGACGACTACCAAAAAAGAACAGCTTTGTCAGTGTTATGAAACAATGAAATCTGCTTTACATTAACTACAGTGCGTAACTTCTCTCCTTGTTTTCCCTCTCCCTAGTATAATGCCGATAAAGCGATAGTAGACAGTGGAACCACACTTCTCCGTCTGCCCCAGAAAGTCTTCAGTGCTGTTGTGCAAGCAATAGCTCGCACATCCCTGGTAAGCTAATGTTATTAAATCCGCTTGAAATGTTAAATTCCTATTAAATGATCACATGACCTTGCAAAGGAGTGTCATCTTTGCTGTCTACTTTCTAAGTCATAGGGTTTTAACCTGAGGGGAGCAGAATCTTTCCTGGTCTGCTCCTGCTAATAAGTGAGAAATGACTGATAGTCTTTGATGGAAACAGAAAAGGGAAAGGAAGAGGTGAAAATGGAAAGGGAGGAGGGAAAAGGGGGGTCTAAGTACAGACAAGAAGTATGGAAATGAATCAGAAATAGTGCAGAGATGGAATATTTTGTTGTAAGCATTTCAAAAACATGGATGTAATCCCTGTTGCTCTGACTCAAAGTATTAAGAGTGCAAAAATCAGTCCTTTCATTCAAAATGGTGTGTTTATAAAGTAGAAGAACGTGCTACTGCAAGCAGTTCCTTTCCAAATGTAATGCTTATTGTTGTATAGACTGGATGCCATTCACGAGGCTTATTCATATCAATAAAGCTGCTTTTGACCTTCATTATTGAATTATTTATGTTTAAAAGCATCTTTCTTTGGAAATAAGAGTGGGCTTTAGAAGTAGAGCATGGGGTAGATTTCTCTGAGTGTAGAGTAACTGAAGTAGCATTTTCTGGTTAATAAAAACTATTCATAAATTTTGGTTGAATACAATGAACAGCACCAAGAAAGTTAAAGATGAAGAATAAATCCCAGATACTTCAATGTGAACAATTTTAATATTTTTGTCATGGATTCACAGTCAGACAGCGGTAGTCGTTGCAAATCACAGGAAGTATAGTAACTGGACTATTGGGCAGCTACCCAAAAGACAGAGTGTTTGCCTGTATGCTGATAATTCAAGATTGAGATGCTTTTCCTACCTGATCAAGAGCTGAGATTTGGCATGAAGTGTTCTTCACTGCCTGCAGGTGTTCAGTATCTGAAATGAATGTACCAGTTTATCTTATGTAGCTCAGCTTCCCTGGTTGAAAACTTCTCTTTGCAAAGCACTTAAGTACTGACTGGAACAATTTCAGTCAATGGGGGTGGGATTGAATGAAGCTTACCCAAGAGCTCTTGAAATGGCACCTTGTGGATAGGCCATCCTCCTGTGAAGTGGGTCACAGCAGTCCACACTCCTCTCTGATGCTGGGCAGTAGATTTGAAGTAGGGCCTTCCACATGACAAGTAAAATAGTCAACTGATCAATAAAGTATTAGAGAGGAACCACTTACTCTGCTTAATGGGTTTTGTTCTTCCTATTAAAAATGCATAAACTAACTCTTCTCTTTTAGAGTGACTTTTCAACCTCAAAGGCCTTGCTGCTGTACCCGTTTCCCTCCACGCACATCAAAACTTTTGCAGCTGTAAACAAAGGAGATAATTAAATAAGAAAATAGTTACAAGATGTAAGGATCAGATTGCAGCTGTATAGGAGCAATGCCAGGAAAAGGCGTATTTTCAGCAATTGTACCATGGCATCGCAGCCGTACTCAGCGCTCTGTGCTTCTGGCACCACTGAAACATAAAATTATCTGCTGTAGTCAGATATACTTCTCTGACCACAGGTGAACCAGGTTAACAAGTTCCTGCTCTTAGCAGCTTGTTATGAGCTGCCCAGCAAGATGTTATTGCCCCCTCAGGTATGCTGGGATAACTGCATGTGAAGCGTTCCTTTATTCAGCTCCATTAAAAGCCAAGGCTGTAAGCTTTATGCTCTTTATTTGGTGCAGATTGTTTTTTAAACCTTACTTATTTGGACTGAAGTCTTTCAGGAAGCAGCTGTAGATGCAGTTTGATGTTGGCAGGTCTGAAGGAGAGTGGTTTTGGCAGATGGGCAGAGATGAGCCACAAAGGGGTAGCAACAACTACACCTCACTGAGCTAAAGTCAGAACAGCATGTCTATTCACAGCATTAATATAATGCTAAGTTAATAAGCTGAAGAAAGGAAGGCTCAAATAAACCTAAAATCTTTATTTTAATAACCTCTTAGGTATCATACAGCCAAATCCCACCCCATGCATTTCTTCAGCATGTAGAAGTAAAGCAAAGAAATGCAATGTAATAAGCAGTCTTGCTGGGAAGTGAAAGTAGGCACTTAAAATAGAGCACTTCATAGACTTGGTCTGTCCAGTCTGGGTGCTATCTTGCAGTTTTTCTCAGATCACAAGCTCTGCCTTCCAAGAGAAAATGGAAAGAGAGGAGAACTGTATTTTTCAGTCTGGCCTGGGACTCTGGGCAGAGTGTTCTGTCCTGTGCCAAGAGATGTAGTTAGCATGCACAGAGAGTTAAGGGTAAATGCCATCTGTTTGTGACAGTAACTCCCACTGTGTGTCTACATGAGTGTATGCTTGTTGGCCCAAGAACAGAGGTGAGCACCTGGAAGTATTAAGTCTCTAATACTGTGCAGCCTTAACAAATATTTCATTGGCAGGTATGGGGGGTGTGAATAATTGTCGCCTGTAAAATGCCAGATAACTAATGTATGAGCTGATGTTTACAAAGTAATCAAGCTATACAAATGAAGGGATTAGAGAAGCTGGATTCCATCTTTCTTCTTCACCCAAATGGGAGGCTTTGGCTGTGCAGCATCAGAACAAGATGCTGCCTTGGATGTTGCTTCACATGGGAATAAGAACCAGTGCAAAATAATACACTGAAATAAGGAAGTTTTCCTCTGATCTGGCAGCAGATCAGCTTTGTGTGCTTCAGGAAGCATGAACATTAGACATGTTTGTCTTAGGCAAACAAGCTCTGTAGGGGTTTGCTTTTTGCTTTGTTAGTGCCATGGATATATTAAGTACTGCTAATCAACCTTATTTCAAAAGCATGTCAAGTCGTATTGGTAGTGAGTGGCAGGGCAGCAAAAGAGACAGAGGGACGCGTTTCTTCCCATTGATTGTAGCAGACCTTGATTCCCTTAGACGCTAGGAGACTTTGGCTTAGCTGTTGGCTTCAAAATCCTAAAGTTGAGTAAGAAGCTATAGGTTTGTAAGGAAGGGAGATGACTCCATTGCATAGTCATGTGGTTTGTATTTTGTTTCGTGTTTTTTAAAAAATGCTGCTTCAAAACGTTGGCATTTGGTCAGAGCTGTTCAGAGAAGAGGTGGGTAGGTAGTAAAAGCCCATTGATACTTTGCCTCTTTGCAGCAGTGATTGCTCAGGGAGGTCATACATGTTCATTGCAGAAGTGGAAGTAATGAGACACAAATGGGGAGGGAAGGGAGACCTAAACTTGCTTTTGCCTCTTCTCCCTTCTTCCAAGCCATAATGGGTTATGACACATCTCAATTTGTGTGTTGGGTTTTTGCTTTGATCCTTCAAGAAAAAACTGTGTCAGATTTGTGTTCATGCTTGAATTTCTCCATGGGAATGGAAGAAGTATCAAATAGTGATAGTGATCATTTATAAAATTCTATCAAAATGTACGCAGTCTGTATGTATCACTTTTTTTTTTTTTTTTTAATAGATACAAGAATTTTCTTCTGGTTTCTGGACTGGTTCACAGCTTGCATGCTGGGATAAAACTGAAAGACCCTGGTCTATATTTCCCAAACTCTCCATTTACCTGAGGGATGAAAACTCCAGTAGGTCGTTTCGGATCTCTATCCTACCACAGGTCTCAGCCTTCCTTGTTTATTTAGTTATGCATTTATTTTTACTATTATAAAGCACATGCTTTTAAAAAATAGGAGCTATTTTTGGCAGTAATAGAGAACTGGCTTATTTCATGCAAGGGAAATCTTTTAAAATGAAATTTTAAAAATCAAATATTATGTGGGGAAAATAACAAACTTGTCAAACCTAAAACCACAAAAGAAAAACAGTTTCCCTCTGAGTGCAGTCCATGTAGTTGGGAATGTGGGGTTTTTTTCAAATTGTCAGGAAAAATAGGCAAGTTTTTGTTTTGTTTCCATGAGTTTTAGCCATACTAGATGTCAATACAGAATGTCTCTGCTCATTTTGATCTTCTCATTTTGGGAAGGAAATTGATTTAGTTTTCATAGCATTCTGAGTTGGAGCACTTCTGAATGTGGTAGTCTTGGCAATGAGCCTACGTGATCTCTTCACCAGTTTCTGTAACTTTGTTGGTTTATCTTTTATTAATATTCCATCCCAGCTTTTAGAATATGATGTGCCACTTTTATTTTTCTTCTCTGGCTTTCCCTCCCAGTATAGGTTGCAATACAGGTTAGTATCCTCAGACATTACTAATACAGCCTTTTACCTCGGGGGATGGTCAGGAGCAAAGGGGAGAATGAACCTATTAAGTACATTTTAACTTGAAATAAAGTAAAGCCTTATGATAAGCTTTTTCTGTATTGATCATGTAGCTTGGCAATCTTTCATCTTCCCTGAGGAGGCAAGGGGTAAAATGTGACTTGAATTTATGAATCTAGACCCTTGAAGCTGACACTGAATTCACTCTGAATCAATTCCATCATGATAATTTTTTAAATAATAAAATTATTCTCTAATTTGAGTTCATATCCCAAGTTCTTTTGCAGCTATCCTTCTCTTAGGGAAAATACAATAAAAAGTGGCTGTCATGAATTTGCTGTTGACCTTCACATAGTGACTGACTGTTCAAATTTAAGCATAGAATCCAAGAGCTTTACCTCTTACCTGCATGTAAGCTTTGGCTAGTTTTAAATCATGTACAGAAATCTCTTTGCTGCTGTTCATTCTCTATTTCCAGTGGAGTTTGAGTGCTTGAATGTAAAAATCAAAAGGTCTGAACTTCTAAGTACTGTGTGATGTTGCTTCTTACGCTTTGGCTTTTTTGTTGTTGTTTTAATAGCTTTATATTCAACCCATCCTTGGAATAGGAGAGAATTTACAGTGCTACCGATTTGGCATCTCTTCCTCCACAAATGCTTTAGTTATTGGTGCTACAGTCATGGAAGGCTTCTACGTAATATTTGATAGAGCCCAGAGGAGAGTGGGCTTTGCAGTGAGTCCATGTGCAGGTAAGAGAAATATTGTTCGGGGCTTGGTGAGTGAGGAAACACCTGCTCTCTCAGAGAAACACCTTTGCCTCTTACCTGATGGGGAAAAGTGTGGTTACTCATGAAGTGTGAAGAGTGTATTTTTGAGCAATCACAAGCTATTCAGATTTCAAGGGGAGGGGGAAAAAAAGAAAAAGCTGTATTGCACGCAGCAGTCTTTTGGCATGAAGTAAACCAACCTCAGCCTTGCATATCTTAGCTGCATTCTTCCCTCTGAGAGAAGATCTTCTTTCTGAGACATCTGTCTGTTTGTGTAGTTTCCCCAACAGTTACATGAGACAAGTCCCTGTTCTTAATCCAGCTTCATTTTTGTGTAGTTCCTGTTCTAATTTGCGGATAAATGGATTCTTCAGCTAACTTTTGCAATGTGCAATGAAGTACCTCACTCATGCTTTTCTCTTAATGTAAATTGGGCCTTTTCAGCCTCTCAGAAATACTCAAAGAGCGAGCTAAGATGAAAATGGGACTCAAATTTAAACTTTTAGGGTTTGTGTTGGTTCTAAACAAATAGTTTTCTCAATGTAAGTAGAAAGCCATTAATGTTTTAATTAGCTGCTAAGGAAATGGGGAAAAGCTCATAATTTTTGGCTGATTTCAGGGTGCTGGTTAACTTTCTTGCCTTTTCATGAGTTATCTCACTAAGGGTAGCTGAAAACAAAAGTGTTGGGGTTTCATCCCATTGTTGAGACATTGCTTTGGCACCACAAGAACATACAAGTGGGAGAGGAGGGAAAGGACGTGCATCTATATGCAAGTCTCTGTCCCAAACAGAAGTGGTCTATGCCCTGGAAAACATCATAGCATCTGAGATTTGCATGAGATAAGGACTACGACTGACAGTGCTTCTTTAATCCCCAGTATTTATGTTAGAGAGGGTAAGGGCAGTAAGTACTTGAGTGCTTAATGCAACCAGGTAATTGAGAGGAAAAAAAGAGATGCTAGCTAGCTGAGTTGTAGCTCCAGGGCATTTGAAAAGCTTTTTTTTTTTTTTTTTTAATCTCTCCATTGTTAATGGGTTCAAAATTGTCATCTATGAGCTTGCTATGAAAGAAAATCTGGATATTGATGTGGGTTGTTTAATGAAGACCTGTATGAGGTACCATGCAGTGATGAAAGACACATTTTGAATGCATCTGGAAGGAGAGTGTAACTAGACAAATACTGCAGACCAGGTTTTTCTGCCTTTCATTCTTCCTTGTGCTTCCTGGCTGCAATTTTAGCAAGCGTAGAGCTGCCTCCTGTCCCTGCCATGCTGCAGCTGTTAATGGAGAGGGGAGGGGGCATTTTGACAGAACATACTGACCGACGTGTGGTCAGCAGGGGACGCGAGCCAGCTGGTGCTTGTAAGAACTGCTTTGACAGCACATCTTTGTTGAGAAAAAGAATCAGGAAACCATAATAACACCTTAATGTTAATATTGCTGCATAGAAGCATAGAGTTTGGCCACTTCGTGTAGTTCTGCCAACCTCGTCTAGAGAGGAAGAACTGAGCTTGCTGAATAGAAATGAAATCTGAATTTACATGAGCTTGGACACATGATGATACCCAGCTGGCATTTCCTCCTCGTTTCTTTGTCCGTGTTTCGTGCATATGTCTAACCTAGCATCATAGGAACTTAGCTTCTTGAGAAATCAGATGACACAAGCCACTGACTGAGACAAGATATACTGATTTATCAGATTCCACTGACACGGGCAGATGATATTTTGCTGGATGTGCCAGTTATTCTGAATTCACTTCTTCACAGCTTGTGGTTTCCGTATTTAACACTACTTTAATCAGAAAACCACAACTGTGAGTGGCTAGCAGTCAGTGCAGTGTGAGGGATTAAGCTGCCTAACTGGCCTCCTGTGGAGGCCAGCCATGTCCTCCATAGCAACTATATTAATGTAATATATTTGGAGCTTTTTAGTCTGTATGTGGGCATAAATTGAATTGAATTACTAGTGGCATAAATCTTCAGAAACAGAGAAATATAAAAGGCCATTTGGTGTGGCTTTGCAGTGACCTATGCTTTCTTGTTTACAATACAGTGTTAATGCTAAATTTAAGCCCATGTTTTTATAAGACGTTAAACTGGTGTGTGCTGAATACAACAGTGAGGGGAACAGGACTAAAAGCCTTAACTTCATTGAACTCCAAAGTTTCTTTTGAGACTTGGCTAGAGATGAGAACTGGCTTTATCCCACAATACTTGCACCATTTTCATTCTCCAGGATGTACCAAGAGTGAGGAGAATTAGACGGCTGCAGGAAGCTATTCCATTGTAGCAGGAAAATAAATTTACTTTTTCCTCAATATGTGAAACCCTTTAAGACTTACTCTGCCTGTTACTAATTTCAAATTGTTTCAAGCTGCCCGTTGATAATTTCAGGGATAACCTACTGTTTACAGGATGACTAGGAAGGGCTTTGGATCAGATCCCTTCTTGAGACAAGATGTTCAGATCGACTAGTTAGTATTAGCGAAGCAGCCTGATGGTGCCTTGGCATCGAGCAGAGTTAGACCCCTAGTATTTTTGTAGTAAGCGAGAAGATTATAGGAACAAGACTTGGGTATTTTTTTAGGGAAGAAATGCACCAAGCACTGTAATCATAAATTACTTCTACACTAAACTGTGATGAGACAGAATGCACCCGAGTTTGTGGGCACTAAACTGGGAAGAATGGATGGCATGATGAATAGCAGAGTTTCAGTTCAGAAGGACCTTTGTAACCTGGAGGACAGGGCAGCAGAAACCTCAAGAGTTTCAGTGAACAGAAGTGCGAAGTTTTGCACCTCGAGCAGAAAACCACCATGTGTGGGTACAGTCTGGGAGGGGACTGGCTGAATAGGAAAAAGAACTGGGGATTATGGTGGTCCCTAAGTTGAATGCAAGCCAAGGGTGAGTGCAAGTGAAACTACCTAAGAAATGGCAACACCCACCAGTTACATTCAGGAAGGTTGAAATTGGGCATGAGGAATTTCTTCTTTACCAGGTGGGTGGTACAGCACTAAAACAGGCTGCCCAGAGGGATCACGGGGTCTCCATCCTCAGGGTTTTACAAGACCTGGCTGGATAAAGCTGCAGCTGACCTGATCTATTGATGGTGATTGTCCTGCTCTGAGTAGGAGGCAGGACTAGGTGACTTCCAGGGGCCCCTTCCAAGCAGCATTTTACAATTTCATGATAAATTTGATCTATCTTCAGGTTTGCTTCCTTTCCAAACCACCCGAGATGGTGAGTGAGTGTGTTTGAGTTCTACACAAATGTTATGAAACAGCATTTTTCCAGAGGTGCCATTTTTTGTCCTGTAATCATCAAAAATGAAGAAAATCTCATTTATTCAAGGTCAAGAATTTATTGTAGGTATCTATGACCAGATGTTCTAAAAAAATATATGCCAAAATATCCTAATTCAGCTAATGTGTAATATGCTAAGTGTGTGTGTCTGTTAGTTTCTGTTAAGGGCTTGTTTGAACAATTTCATCTCTTGATTTCCTCTCAATTTCTCTGGAGGTGGAAGAGGGTGAGGGAAAACTTATTTTTGGAGGGAAGAAAGCAGAGGCTGTGCTGCTATCAAGCATTCTCAAAATGTAATTTAAAATGTCAGCCACTATGGCAACAGTTTTGTATTGCCTTTTTTAATAGGAGTAATTATTGTACTGAAGCCAAATAATGAGTAATTAGGGACTGTTTATTTTCAAAGCTATCTCCAAGGTGGAAAACTGTGCTGCCTTTCCCCCCGCCCCCCCTTCTTCAAAATACTAAATTCCAAAGTAGTAGTACTTATGTCTTGCATTTCACATTAGCATTAAATGTACTTTAGTTTGGTTTTGCTGCAGGACTTCATAGAGAGAGATGAAATGATGTGAGGGGGTGAGATGTCCAGAAGAAACAATTGCGTGGTGGACAAAGCGCAATACTGGGACTCTGAACAAAACTGATTTTTGCCACAGACGTTCTAGGTAGCCTTTTACAAGTCTGTCCACTACTGTGCAGCCCCCTTACCATATCTATGTAACAGCAATGTCTTGGGAAAAATATGCTGATGATATAGGGTGCACAGGCCAGTCTTTTACCACCTGATGAGTTGAGAGAGTACGTGTTTGGTCTTCACCAGTTAGGGTGCTCATGGGTGTAGCCTCAGATTTCACCCAATCCACTCTAACAGCTTATTGCTGCTAAAGGAGTCTTCCCACACTTGCAGCTGGAGAAGGCATTGGTTCAGTTGTGTAATCCTACAGAAAATTCCTCATTTGGGCATTTTGTTTGTTATGACAGGTTGGTTTTCCATCAGATGAGCGAGTTGCCCTGACTCTCCTTGCAAGCCTACCAGTCACTAGCACCAATACAAGAGGCAGCGAGGGACAGGAGCGAGGGCAAGCATGACTGTCCCTTTCAGCAGCAGCCCACGATTAAGTTGAATTAAGTCTAATGAGACTTAAACCTTAAAATAATATGAGGTATTGGGAGGCCAGGGACTGAATGCCAACTAAAATCTCTCCCAATAAATGGCAGATAAAGCAGCCCACCTATTCTGCATCTGTTTCTCCAAAAAGAACCTTAAAGGCCACCTTCTTGCCTTTCCAAAACCCAGGGTCCCCTCTTCCTTCCAAGGGGTATTTTATGTTAATTTCTTTAAACATGCTTTCAGAGTTGTGTCTAAGATATGTGTACATAAGAGATACTGCTTTCAGTAGGCAGAATCACTTAGAATTTGGCAAGAGTGTGTCTGCGTATAAAATGAACAGGAAATTAAGGAGGAAGGTTAAAACTGAGGCCTTTATAAGAAATACACAAATCTGTCTTGAAGTATCTGACTAGAGAAGTGAATTACAACCATTTGGAAGACTTGTTAAAATGCACAGACAGTAGTAACTGCAGGCTCCTAGTTGCCCCCAGCAAGCTAAAAGGTATCCATCCTTCCCTGGCCGCGCACCTGCAGATGTGAAATGCTCTGAGTATTTTGTTGCCCTG